GGGCCAAGGCCTCAGCCTTTGTCACCTCTCCCCCCATCAGCCCGGACCCCACCACGCCCGACCATCTCAGCTCCCTCTTGTCCTGGTGAGTTCTGGGGGGCACCGCTGCCCGAGCACATCTCCCGTGTTTGTGTCCCCCCCATTCACCCGAGCACCCGTCACTGCCGTGCCCCCGGGGGTGGTGGGGTGCCGGGAAGCCCGTGAGCACCCGTGGGTGCCTCCTGACCCCTCTGCTCCGCTCTGCCCAGTGGGGACCTGCAGGTCACCGGCAGCGCCCACTGCACCTTCAGCACCGCGCAGAAGGCCGTGGGCAAGGACAACTTCACCCTCATCCCCGAGGGCACCAACGGCATCGAGGAGCGGCTGTGCCTCGTCTGGGAGAAGTGTGTGGTAGGTCCTGCGGTGCCCGCGGTGCCCGCGGTGCCAGGCAGAGCTGGTGCAGGGGAGCCCTGCTGGCGCTGCGCCATGTCGGTGACCTCCTTGTGTCAGAGCCGGGAGGTGGGACATTGCCTGGGCTGCTGCTTCAGAGGAGCTAACGAGCAGAACAGCTGCTAATGAGAGGAAATGTGACACTCGGGCTCCTCCAGAGCGTCTTCAAAGGCTTTGGTACGGGCGTTGTCACCCCACTCACTCACAGCCCCCCCAGCCGCTCCAGCACATTTTCCTAAGGGCAAGACAGGGAGTTCCTCTTCCTGGTGCTTGCAGCAGGGCTGGGGAGGTGAGGGCAGGGCCCCCCGTCCTGCTGGCCCCAGCTGGTGGGGACAGGTTCCCTCAGCACCTCCGTGCTCTGGTGCCAAGCGAGAGCTGCCACACGCCAGCGTCTGCCCGGTGGGACCATGGCCTGTGCCCCCACCCACCAGCACGTCCTGCAGCCCACAGGGAAGTGCAGACTGCCAGGAGCTTGGGAACCAAGCCTCCCTGAAGCCTTTGTCTTAGGTAGATTTTGTTCAAAGATAAATAGAATTTATCTCAAGTTAATCAATAAAGATGATAAATAGCAGTATTGAGGTTCACTTCCAGTCTCCACTGAAATATTCTTAACCATTTTACAGCAAGAGCCCCAGCAGTGACCTGAGGGGGGAACCCCTCTGCTGGGAGCCCAGTTGGGCTGGGACAGCCTGAGAGGAGAAGGCTCCACCTGGGGAGACCTGCTGGGGACTTGACAGGACTCAAAGGGGCCTGTCAGAAAGATGACTCTTAAGCAGGGACACTCGTATCACAATAACAACAGGACAAGGCGGGATAGTTTGAAACTATAAGAGGGAGATTGAGACTAGAGAGAAGGAAGAAATGAGGTGAGCCCCTGCCCCAGGTTGCCCAGAGGTGGTCACTAGGACCCTCCCAGTGAAGGTCTGGTTTTTCAGGAACAAACACCTTTTTAGTTTCACAGTCCAGGAAAGTAAAACCCATCTGTGGGATTATTTAGCCCACAGGGACAAGGCACATCACCCCACGTCTGCCCCACAGCTGCTCCCAGTCACAGTGTGGCTCTCACACCACACGGGCACGGTGCTGGAGCTCTCCATGTCCTCCCCTGGGGCCTGGTCCTCGCTGGCGGCTCCGGCCGTGGACGGGGCCCTGAGCTCTGCTGGGAGCTGGGCAGCTCTCTGCTGCTGCTCCTTCTTCCCTCCTCTCTCCCAGGTCCCCGGGAAGATGGACGAGAACGATTTTGTAGCAGTGACCAGCACCAACGCTGCCAAGATCTTCAACTGCTACCCCCGGAAGGGGCGCGTGGCCGTGGGCGCTGACGCAGACCTGGTTGTGTGGAACCCCAAGGCTGCGAGAATCATCTCTGCAAAAACCCACAATCTGGTAAATATTTCAAAAGTTATTTTCTTCCGCTGGTTTTAGAGTCAGAAGAGAGCAGGAAAGCAGCAGGTTTCTTCAGCTCAGAAGGATCAGGACCCTGCCCGGGAGGAGCTGCTGTGTGGGCCAAGGGATGGAGGAGGGTCCGTGTGCTGCTAAATGCCCTCTGGGTGCTGTGAAGGGTGGGACTGTGCCTGGGTAGCGGTGACTGCCCCGAGACAGGCTGCCTCTGGCACAGGAATTACGAGACCAGGGTCTCACTGGGGCCTAGAATGGAACTGCTGAACTTGTTTTAAGTATGGAAAATTATCACTGTGATTGAAATATTCGGGTGTTTTCTTTAAAAAATAGAAACAGGTTTTTCATTTGGGCTGTGTTCTGTGAGGGTGGGGACTGTGCCTGGGTGGCGGTGACTGCCCCGAGACAGGCTGCCTCTGGCACAGGAATTACGAGACCAGGGTCTCACTGGGGCCTAGAATGGAACTGCTGAACTTGTTTTAAGTATGGAAAATTATCATTGTGAAATATTCAGGTGTTTTCTTTAAAAAATAGAAACAGGTTTTTCATTTGTTCCAGAAAATTCAGTTTTGCTTTTCTATAATGCCACATTTTCACTGTGAGCTGTGGGTTTGGGCTGGTTTGTTAGTGCCAGGATGGGAGTGATGGGAGGCAGGGGAACAGTTCTGTGCTGCCTGCAGAGCAGACCTGACATTCCAGACCTGGTTTGGTGGAAGATGTGCAGTGACCAGACCTGGTTTGGTGGAAGATGTGCAGTGACCTGGGAGAAATGAGAACTCCTGTCTCCGAATGGAGAGCTAAAGCAGGGCTCCCCTGGGGCCCGGGGAGTTAACAGCTGAAGTCGAGTTTGCTCCAGGAGTGCTGTGTGTCTCCTGGGCAAGTGCAGTGTTTTGGGGCTCCAGTTGCTCCACTCCAGTTTGCTTTGGTTCAGCCAGTTAGAAGAATGTTGTTACTGGAAGCACACAGGGTTAGTTAAGCACAACTGGTGGTGCAGGAGGAGCAACAGAGAGGAGCAGGGTGGGGGGATAGTGGGTTAGACTGTCACCTTCTCCTGCATCTTAACCGTGCTGAGTACCCCGGTTTGTCCTTCCCAGAACGTGGAGTACAACATATTTGAAGGCACGGAGTGCCACGGGGTTCCTACCGTGGTCATCAGCCAGGGCAGAGTTGTTCTGGAGGATGGGACCCTGTGTGTCACCCAGGGCTCCGGTCGCTTCATTCCTAGGAAGACGTTCCCCGACTTTGTTTATAAAAGGATAAAGGCCAGAAACAGGGTAAGGAGAAGTTTATTTGCTGATCCCCCATTTCCACTGTGATCTGTGTGTCATTGCAGTGGGGTCACTGTTGTGCCAAGCCTGCCGATGGGCCGGGCAGCAGAGCCAAGGGTTATTGTCACTTCTTCCTAGACCTTGGAAATCCCTGATGTTGTCACCTCAGTGCTTTGGTGCGTGGCTTGGCACAGTGACCAGTAGTGCCTGTGGCAGCTAATAATGCCACTAGTGTTGGTATTATTTGCTTATTGTGAAGTTTTAAAGCAAAACTATGACTTCTAGCAAATCTGGTTTGGTTTGTATTGGGGTAGCAGGGAGGAATTCCTCTCCTGCCCGTGTCAGAAAGGTCTGTTACTGTATTGCCAGGATCTGCTCTGATCTGTCAGAGGGTATTTAATGGATGTAGCGTTTGGTGGTTCCTGGAAGTACAGTAAGATGAAGCCCTGGGTGTGCCAGCACAGCTCTCTGAGGAGGCAGCAAGACATGCAGATATCTAAAAAGCTTCTTAACAGCTCTGCCCTCCTCTCCTTTTCCATCTGTTATTTTAGACGTTTCCATTATGCATTGTAGATGAAGGCAGAGCAGAAATCATTAACCCCAGGTTGCCCACAGAGGCACCAGTGGTGCTGGCAGCTGTGGCAGGAGCCCCCCCTGCCTTGGGTGCCTTGTGGGTGCCTCTGGGTGCTGGGGGTGCCTCCTGGGGGTGGGCAGCCATCTCTGCTCCACCCAGCAGTGTTGGCAGGGGCCTGCTCTGTATCCCTGGCACGCGCCCCTTCACGTGGCTGGGCAGACTGGCCCGGTGGGCGAGGTGCCCCAGGCATCCTGTCAGCATGCAAGGCTCCATCCCTTGTGGACACAGACACCCCGGGCTCTGTGTTTCATCACAAAGGTTGGAGTTTCTGCTAAACACAGACCTTGATGCCCGGTGAGCTGAAGTCCCTGCCCTGGCAGGTTGATAACCGGGCATCAGCCAGGGCACTGAGGGGTCGGTTTGCTCAGCTGATGTGTTTGGGCACCTCGCATCCTGCCCGTGCCAGCTCTGCATCCTCAGTTTAG